CCGTGGCCGGGTCCGGGCCGGGGCCAGCGGCCCGGGCGTCGCCTCTGCTGCTGCTGCTGATGCGTACGGCATGATTAGAGCAAGACGGCGCACGGGTCGGAGCGATAGCAGGGCCCAGAAGGTCTGGCGGCAGGGAGGTGAGGCTCAGCGCGGCTGGCGGCGGAGATCCGGCCCCGCCGCCGCCGGCGGCGGCTCCGCCGGCGGCGGCGGCGGCGGCGGCGGCAGCGTCGCTCATACCTTTGGGGCCCGGAAAAGAAACCGTGACCGTTGTTTCTGTTTTTCCAGCATCGTCGGTTGTCGGTTGTCGGCCCTTTCGTTGCATAGGCGAGGACGAAAGCGACGGCCGCGCCATGGTGCCACCGCAAGAGGCGACGCCATTGCCGTACATATCGTTCATGCCCGGCTGACGCCCGACAGCCTCACCTCCGCCGCCACCGCCGCCGCCGCCACAGCCGCCAACAACTCCCGTGACATTACCCTCCCGAGCATGGGGCTCCGTTTGAGAAAGTAGCGACATACAAACAGACGACACATGCACATGCTGTACAACACCGCCGCGATCGCGACCGCCGACGGAAGTGGTCGGTGCGAAGGTGCCGTACGAGGACGTGTTGTAGCCGCTACCATTGCAATCGCCGTAACCAAAGTCGACATCGCCGCCGCCGTCGGCGCCGCTACCTCGCCGTCCAGGCTCCTCGCCGTCAGCCGTCAACTCGCCGCCGCGACTCCTCCAATCCACTGGAATCGTACGGAGGGCCACGGGCCGTACGCGCGGTGCTGCAGCTCCCTGCTCGCTGCTCAAGCTACTGTACGACACGGCACGACTGACGCCTCCGTCGTACCGACTGCCGTCGCCGCCGGTGCGACTGACGCCGCCGCCGCCACCACCGTCGTCGCGAATGTCCTCTCCCGCCATGTACGACACCGTCAAGTAATCCGGCGTCGTCGTCGTCCCCGCTGCCGCCGCATCGCCACCGCCGCCAGGGCTGCTGCCGTATACAGCCCTGCCCGACGCCGCCAGCGCCCGCAGCCACCTGGGAGCTCCGCCCGACGGCGGCCCTACCGCCCGCCAGCCCAGTGTCGTCGTACTGCTGCAATTCTGGCGGCCAGAAGGGCGCACGCTGGCTCCGGCACTGACGCTGCTCCCTTGCTGATGTTGCACCTGCGGCTGCTGCGGCTGCTGCGGCTTTCTGACAGTCCTAGCTGAGCGGGAGCGGAAGAGCGCCGCGACGGTGCCGTACCGCAGGCTGCGTTCGGGTCCAAGCCCCATCCCCGTCCGCGCGTTGAAGGGGAACCCCTCCGGCAGGTCCGTCGACAGCGGGCTGCAGGCCTGTATGAGGGGGGCAGTGCGGCGGAGGGGGGGGGAGGACCGGAGCTTTGGGGTGATGGTGGTGGTGATGGTGGTGGTAATTATGGTAATAAAGAAATACACATAACCGGAATGAAAAAATAGTACTACATCACCACTGCACTAAATTGATTGATGGCGAATGCCTACATGCAGAACAGAACAGAAAAGCATTTAACCAACCCTAAACAACTACCAACTATCAACCAACGGACCTACCGGCTGTTCAAGCAGCAAGTCAGGCCAGGGCTGCACCAGCAGTTGCGCCTGTGGGGGGAAGGGGAGATTGTGTATGTGCGCGTGTATGTGTATGTATGTATATGTGTGTGTGTGTGAGAGAGACGAACCATTGACGCTTGAAGCAGATACCAGAGACCAGTGATTTTTTTTTCATTTAGGGGGGGTCTCAATTTATTCCAACCTAAGTAACAAAGTTGCTAGCGTCGCCGTTCTGTATTCCTTAAGAGTGGGGCGCTGG